GCTAATTTTCATATAAATGACAATTCCAGAGTTCAGATAAATAAGCTAAGATATTGTTTAAAGTGTGAGAAACTTGATTAATTTAAAAAGTACAATAGTTAATGTAACTTTCCTGAAGTAATACTTGGAAAAATTATGAAAAATAAAGAAACTAGTATTTTCTAAAGAATTTGTCGCTTTCTGTTGGTCGTGTGAGATACAGATATATATGAAAAGATATACTCATTGTTAGAGCACGTTCATACGCCACGACCCAGTAAAACTAATAAATCCGTGAATACACTTAATTAATGCGCCGCGGTGGAATAATGCAGCTAAATGATCAACGACGCGCGGAGTTAATGATGCTAATGAGACAGTTTCAGCCATATAATCTAATTTCACAGAGTAGTTTGGTACATGTCAAGGCGCTCTTCATTTTTGCATTATATTCTCGTTAAGTCTCTTTTTAATTAAGTCTTAATTTATAACGCATTGATTTACAATTAGCAAATAATGAAACTCTTAAGTTCTCATGATTAAACATGCATAAATTAAAAAGTTAATTCAATTCCATCGAATGCTCGCTAAGTTTGTCTCAACGCTTACAATAGCACGCACGGTGCGTATCGATGACAATATTCTCAAAAACAGGGGACACGACATGCAGGAAACGTGGAACGTCTCCGGTGAAAGTTTTTTTAGATGAAGTAACAAAGAGACAAGGCAATAATGGACGAAATACCGCAGCGTTCACCGCACTGTACGTTTCTGATCTGCATCTACTCGGTTATTACGCCTAAATTACGCATTGCCGGAAAAAATTCATGCGTCGAGGCAACATAATGTCATTATTCCGAGATATCAAGTCTTCTCACGGAAGAACATGACTGATAAGGTAATTATAAATGTCTCGAAATGACAAACAGACTAATTAAATGATTGCTTGTCCTTTTAAATAACATAACGTTGATCCTTTAAATAACAGGTATGAAATGGAGACTAAGTTCTGTAAACAAAAAATCAAAAAACTAATAAAAAAAGATATAAAAAGAGGTAATTAAAAGAAAATTAATATACTTTACCTAGAACAATAATAAAGTACGAGATGTTTTTGTATGTTAAGCTAATTATCTTTATCGAGTGTTAACACCATTTTAAAAACTCTGTCGATCGGGTGTCCCTGTCATCCTTGACCGTCTTTTGATTTCAGTAGTTGCTGAAAAGAATACAAATATATTTGTGTAATTTAACCTAACGCGCAGATTCGTGTAGTTAAGAGGATGCGCGGGTTAACGCATCTACTTCGTGTGTCAGAAGAGAAAGGATTTTACTTGATAAAACGAGCGGACTGCAAAAGGAGGCTGGCTGCCGCCTTATTGCCAGCCACCGCTCTCACGGTCGGTAAAAACGGCCCGCTCTCGCTCCACAATACGATGAATAATTGATTTGCAGTTTCACTCTTTTGTGGATTACGTAACGATAAGGGAGCATAATTTAATTACTTATGGATAATCGATGTATAGCATGATCCGTGGCGCTTAAATCGTCCCGTTGTAAGATGGTGGTGAACAACTTTCACTCATCGGTGAGATTTTTATTTGAACAACCAGTTTTCTTCTGTTTTGATGAATTTAATAATCACTTTCCTTTTTGTCTGTACGCATCAACTATTATTACCTTAGGGAAAAAAATTTTTTTATTAGAAATTTCATGAAATAAACGCCCCTTTAGTTTCTGTAAAAAAAATTATATGTACTTACCATGGGCGACATAATAACAGTCACGAGAGGAATTTGTAATTCCGCGTTGCATTAATTCACGTTACATATTACGGTATACTGTTTTGAAGAACAAATTACGTCGCGACAGTAACTTTTTAGTCACGAGTACTTGACACAATAACGTGACGGAAATCGCCATACCGGCAGTAAAATATGTCGTGCTTTACGCCTTTTAAACCGACCCACGGCCTCACCACTTTTTTTCTCCCTTTTTAGTGCTAGCTACTTTTTTCTTTTTTTTCAGAAAAACGCGGGAAAACGTGCCACTACTGACAATACTGTCTATTTCATTGTTACGGAAATTCAGTGACCATGAAGGACCAAGGAAACGACATCGATGTTCAATTTAACACTGCATAAAAATTATCGATGTATGACATTGGGAATATTTCGTTACGTATAACCTAAGAACTTTCTAATCTTGCGCATTTTATTGTTCGAGGCTGAAATGCATTAGCTTTACGTGGATTGCATCGTATCGAAATTCTTAGTGGGTGGTTCAAATCATTGCACATTTCGAATATCTGTCGTGCACGATAGAAAAGAAAAGAAATATACGTTTAATAACCGTGACGAGCAATATAACCGTATTCGACTTTTCCGCACGAAAGCAAGCCTATAGAAATCACTTGTAAGCGAAAATATACAATATTTTCATCGTGGTCATTCTCAGACAATCACTACCTGTCCGTTTATGCAATCAATGCATGAAAATTCGAAACTTTACAGATTCCTCGTTGTTCTTAATTTCTAACCTCTTTCGATAAAATAACTGTAAACTGTGATTCTTTAGACACTAGAATAAAATACCCACGTGGGTTCCGCAAGTATGCTTGTCAAAAAGAATATTTCTTTCAATGGAAACTTCTTTCACTTCAATACTTGTGAGATTAAAGATAAATTTTTAGATTCTAAAGCCACTTATAAACCTCGCGTTCGCATGGAAAACGACAAAAACATTTTTGAAACTGTCCACGAAGTACACTAATGGAATTACAGGACAGCATACACGTAGCCAGGAGTAACGTTATCCCTGAGATACCTGGCTGGCTTTATCGCCACGATGCGTGACGAACGTTCGTTTACGTACGTTCCGTAAGGAGCTTCTCCAGTCTTCCTCCCTACGTTCCCTATTGGGTTGTCCACCAAACCGGGAACTATACTAACAGCGTAAAAATATCAGCGTATATCGTGCAGCTAGATGCCTCTAGAATTCCAAGTGGTTCTTGTTATGTCGCGAACTCGGTGAAACTACTTTTTAACAGACCGTCAACTACAACATTACGTTCCTCACCACATTGTAATCGGCTATCGTCGTTCTCTTCGTGACTAGACGATGCAGTCGTTAAATCGTTAATTACAGAACATAACCGCGATCAAACTTTCCACCTTGTCAAAAGGACTAGTGTTCACGTGGTTTACCTCATGATTTGCATCTGGGGACTTTTTTTCCTCTTATTGGTTTGACAGTGGCAAATTCGTGAATTTCTTAAATAGGGACATTTGAAGTAACCATGTGAAGCGACCGGTCGGAAAAGATATATCGATAGATCTGGATATGTAGATATCTTCAGTAAATTTTAAAACTTGAGAAGATATAGTTTCTACAGATCGGATTTCTACCTTTGGTCAATTGTTTGTGAGATTCTTAAGTGATTTTTGGACTACTTATTTCGAAAAAGAAACGACGAATTCTCTGTGTAATAAATTGGTCAGAATCCTCACGAAGAAGTTAACAACTCGTACAGGAGCCAACTCGAGCGTGCACCCATGCACGCTTCGTTTCGCTGAAATAATAACGAAGATCTTCGAGGCCCACCATGCCGTCACGGCGTAACCAAGAATTCCGTGCTCCCTTTTCTTCGTATTTTTACCAAAAATTATGAAAATTGTGTGCCGGTTGCGTGCAGATGTTTTCTTTAGCCTACGCTTTCACAAATAATTTTAATTAATTGCTAATGATAGCCTCGGCATCTTTGCATATGTTTAAATTGAAATATTATATCGAAGAAATAAATGCATTTGCAATTATGGTATAGAAGGAATAATTTCTTTAGAATAGAATTGCACAAAAATTGAGTGTACTACATATTGCTCGGCTTAATCAGATACAGAATTAGAGCTGAAACATAATGTAAAATATTTCTTAGGTTACATAGAAATTATTTGAAATCATCTAAAAGCAACGTCATTATATAAAATAATGGTAATTGAAAGTTTAAGCAGTGTTCCGTATCATGAGTATACTAATTCCTGTTGTATATGTATATTATATTAATTTTCTAAAGTATCGTATGCATAATATTTTAAACATATTACCTTATTACTATTTTTGTAACCGTATAGATTAATAAAAAAACAATAACAAATATTTTAATTAAAAAAAATATTATATAAAAGCAATATTTAGTTTTATTTTAGAATTAAATAAGGAATTTTTATAATGCAATTTAATAGTTACAATTTAATTGTAAAATAAGTAAAAACATATGAATGTTGAATGTCTAAAATATATAGAATATATATATAAAAATATCTGTTATCAAAGATAGATACAGAAGGATTTTTGAATATATTTATGCAATTACCGACATTACATAATTTTAGATCGTAACATATCTTCGGTTGGTTTTATATTTTGTATCTTCAGATGGTATCCCATTCCTACCTTATCAACTGAAATATAATCTTACTAATAGTTTCTACTAGATGGTGCTACAGATTTCTAATCATTAAATAGATGGAATACATTAAACTTTAACTCGAAATCAAAATTGAAAGCAGGTACTTAGAAAAAGAATACACAGCAATATGTTTAAACATTGTCTTTTCTATAATTCAGTACACTTCATGCGTCCAGATATAAAATCTTATCTTATAATTTAGGAAATTACAAGAAGCAAAACTTCTGCTATATTCATAAACAAAATATTTTAAATAGTGTCCAGCACATTTCAAAATAAATGTGCCGCATTTAAACATATAAATATATTCTACAATAATAAGCTGCCAAAACATGGCTTTAATTATCTTTAAAATACATTCGTATCACAGTCAGCTATTCCAGAACAAAGAAGAGTTTATTGTTCTCGAACGATACGAACGTTTTTACATAAATATCTATGAAGGATATTATCTATCTTATTTTCACTAATTATATACATCCGTTGCTGGTTAAAATTCCATTAAATTGGAAGTGTCCAAGCTTTCAATAAATATTAATATAGCAAATGTGAATTACATTTTGAGGCAACGCCTAGGTAAGTCTTATCAGGTACTTGTAAAGTAAATTGAAAGGAATTTTTCCTGAGATTGTTAGTGGCTAAATCATTTTCATCTTTAACTTCAATTTCGATGTCCTCGAGATCAATACTGAAGTCTCGGTTACCCATTAGCGTAGTTAAACACATGTCCATTTCTTTTATTCTCGAACGTACTAATAATTCCAACGTGAACAAATGTTCGTCATGAGCTTCTGGTAGATAACGATGCATAAACTCTGCTAATCTGTACATGACAATATAAAAGACATGTGAAAAAAAAAAAAAAAAAATATTACTAGACAATTAACTTGGACGACGACATGTGAAAAACATACCGTAAAAGATATTCAACGTTGTGTCCATTTAAGCCCGAGCACTCGGAAATTTGTTTAGCAATATTCAGGAGCGGAGCCTCACCAAGCCAGTGTTCATTTTCATTGGTTGCAATATAGACAATAACTGGAAAACTTCTATTGCCAACGCGGCTATAAAATGTGGTAATTGTCGTTACATATCCTCCTAAAGCACATTCGCGATTTTCCAAGTAAGGCAACGCTGCGTTATCCTGGACTTGGAACGCTCGGCCATAAACAATACCCTATTAACAAAAAAGACACAATTTACTATAATTCATTATTGTAATAATTATACTTGAAATTGTAAAATGGAAACACTTATGGCAGATAACAAAAGTATTGCGTTCAATATATAAGTACGATAATTTGAGGTTAATAATACTGAAGTTAGTTACGAATGAAATTACCTCCTTATCCTCGACTAATGTCGCCACACGTCCAGGCTGTAACACAAGGGACAACAGATCAGTAAACAAATGACTAATAATTGGGTTTCGAAGAAATAAAGGAAACAATGTATAGAAGGTTTACGACAGCATGACGCAAATACATAACACAAACACAATGAGCAAAATAGTGTGTTCACGAAAGATATCGGTTTCTACGAGCTACGACTGGTTTCACATTAATCGACAAGCAACTGTAATACGAGAGCAAGAGAAATTCTCGTTTGATCAAACTTGTCTACAGAATGGTAAAGAAGTGAAATAGGATATAACAAGCGAGATAATGGTAAAAATATTTAACCGTTATATTAAAAAAAAAAAGAAAAAGAAAAAACTAAAGAGAAGAGAGTACTTAGATCTGATAAATTGTTTTATTAGTACTTAGATCTGATAAATTGTATTGTTTTAATTAGCAAAATTGGAACGACATACTCATATATGTAACTTCACCCGAGTTTCATCACACTTAATGGAAGCATCCGTAAGTACTTACTGGGACGTACTTGCAATGGAAAAATTATGTTCCATTACATATTTAAGCAAATTATTACTGATTATTTTCCACCGTTTTTGTAAGAATATTTAAACTTTGTTTAAATGGTCGAAATAATAAGGTCGTTTCTTTTTTCGAAACAGGGAAGGACAATGTGTTCGGTATGGCAAATCTGGATGAAATATTTTCAAAATATTTACTGCATAATTCACAATGATTGTAAGCCTAATATACCGAAGAAAAACTCGCCTTTATCATTCGGTGTGGAAGATTGCCAAACCTTTGTGAAAGAATTCACGTGGCGAATTCATGAACAAGAAAATTAAAGGTATAAATAGAATATTTGAGGCCAACGCAGTATGAAAAACTCGGTCTGTCTGAACTAATTTAAGGAAATCGATGTAAATATTTATACATCTGTTAATACATTCTCTTACGGCACGTAATAAAGTGTTTCGACACTCTAAAATGTAAGAATATTTATAAAATGTATGAAACTAATTTATTTCCAAACTCTAACATTAAGAGTTGCATGGTTCTTAATTTTAATTTACATTTTCATAATTGAATTTACACTTGCTGTTCCGCCATGTTAACAACGTCACAATACTTCGTCAAGAAAGTGTATATATTTTCTATTATGATACATACGTTAAAAATATTGCATTTATTTACATCTTTCATAAGAAGGAAACAATAATACAAATATATATAAAAGATTTTTGTAATATTTTTCTAAAAATATTTGTAAAGTTTTTGAAAGTATGGGAAAAAGGAAAAAAAATGGGGTTTTTATTATTTAATATAAAAAATTTACCTTTTCAATTGTGCCACGATGTGTTGTATTCCCTTGCCAAAATCTCCTACTGAATCCCCGTATATAACCGACGGCGCTTCTTTTGTACTTGAAACCTGGATACCAGCACAAAGATCCGTATCCGAATACCCAGAGAGAATTTTCATTATTGTTTCTAGCTTCCATCATATTCGAAAAGCGCGGTCTTTTCTTCGAATGAGTTAACTAATACTACTTTTGTCTTCAAATATAGCATATCTCATCAAATTTCATGCATACATCTTGTTGATTTTGTAGTGAATACTTTTATTCTATATTAAAATAATTTCGTAAAAATAATTTATATACTGCCTTTAATCTTCTTGCTTTCTGCGCCAATGGATGCATCGCAATTTGTCGACTGTCCAACTGGATATTTGATCAATTTGATTATCAGTTTAACAAATATTTATATTTGAAATAGTCTCAAAGTTCGAAACTTTCACATTTAGACTTGGTTGAAATTATCACAGACGAAGCAATAAATAGATAAAAAACATTAGAAGTCCTTTTTTCATTTTATCATCTAGAAAATGGTTACAATGAAAATTAACTGGTTTGACAAGCGCGACACGTGGCTTTACTGCGCTTTTACCCCAATAAGCGTTGTACTTTAAAGCTTGACTATTAAGAAACTCACTCCCACCACAACATGTCAATTTCCTTCCTCCCACTTTCGTCTTCCGATTCTACAGCATTATTGTCCTATTCATTTGCTCAATTATATGTCTGTTTTCTTTCTCACCTCCTACGTGTCGGTTCTTCAATGTCTCGCGTGCCATTGTCCACCAATGAATTTTGGTTTTCTAATAATCCTTGGATCTTTTATTCAATTATTTGTATGGTCAATTGATCCACCGAATGTATATAGAGATTTTACTTGGTCGGTATTTTCTTCCAAGAGCCGATAAATTAAAAATTTTATGGTCAATGTTTGTGGCTTTCGAATGTGTAGTAGTTTCTGAACTAATCGATATAATCTTTGTGAATGTTTCATTGGAATTTGTGTAATGTAAATTCACGATAGACATTGACGAATTTGAAAGATCGAATACAACACACTAGTACACTCTGCGGAAGCTTGACCGAGACTGCCGGTTGTCGGGCGTATACTCGTACTTGTAAAAAGAGATAGAAGTAACCTGACGTAGAGGGGAATAGGCAAACGCTATTCGAGGGAAAGGGAAAGACTTTGAAATAAAGAGCGAGTAGGAGAACGGATGAGATGGATGATGAAACAGAAGGTGCGGATTGGCGTATATCAATGGTATGTCCAAATTATATAGATATTCAAACCGCATACTTACACAGTAGTTACCTATTACACAAATTATAAGCAATAAACACAATTAGATCTCAATTACATAACTACTATAATTTAAATTTTTTTGTTGCAGAATTGCAGAGATTGATCCATTTGCAAGAATAGACACAAGTGTTTCATACCGTTATTCAAAGAGAGATTTATTACTTTTGATTTCAATTTATTGATCAAATATAAACTAATTTAATTTAATAAATGAATTACAAAATTAGCTTTTACAAATCATTAAAATAATTAAAAATAAACTATATGTGATATTTTATTAATATATTTGTAATTTTAAATTTGAATGATAATTATTAAATACAAATTTGTAACTTGAATGCAAAATAATATTGAAATTTTATAATTTAAATTAAATTTATTTTTCAAAAGGAGTCAATTTTTCTTCAGATGGTAAATGATAGTTTACATCCTTCTTCACAGATGTCACTACCGTTATAAAACCACTATAACAAATAGTACTACCAATAACAGTGGATAAAAATTCCCTATAATTTCTGTATTATATGATTACCAAATCAGCTGGTGCTTCCGAAATCTAATTGTTGACGGGTATTTGAATTTTTGTTTTTTTGTACGACAATTCGACGGTTCTAATTGTACTATATTGACAAAGTGAAACTTTTAATGAGACGCACAATTTTTACATGAGGTACCATAATTATTAAAGTTTTATTTACTTTACATGATTTCTAGTTAAATATATTCGTATCTTTTTAAAACGTGACCTGTTGCACGCTTTAATTAAGTTTTTAAGGTAAACGATGATTGAGGATATACCATCACATTCTCTAGACATGGATAATTTAGTAGAAGATGATGATGTGATATTCATAGATGATGTTGAAGAAGTGGTAAATGCATATGATACAGGAGATAGTGAAGAGGAAGATGCAATGGAGGAAGATGAAGATCTAGTTTTTGTTTTCAGAGGTCATGAATTAGGTACAGAAAATTGCAATGGTTATAATCACATCAATATTGATGCTATACTTGTAATTTTATATTAAAATTGTAGGTTCCATCTTTTGTGGTTCTTTGAGCAAAAATGGGAAACTTGCTATTACAGGCGGAGAAGAAGATAAAGCTTATGTTTGGGATACATCAACAGGAGAAATTATTTTGGCTTGCATAGATCACAAAGACAGTATTATTTTTTCAGCATTTAATCATGATGAAACATATGCGGCTACTGGAGACATGAGTGGTATAATACAAGTTTGGAGATTAGTTGATAAAATCAAGATTTGGGATTACAACATGGGTGATGCTACTGTTAGTTTATTTTACATAATTGAATAATATAACACTATGGATTTAAGTAAACTAAAATATTATTTTCATTAATGCAGTGGATGATGTGGCACATAGCTGCAAATGTCTTATTAGCTGGATCTATTCATGGGGAAATATATATGTGGAAAATACCTGATGGTGATTGTAAAGTTTTTCAGGGATATGGTTGTCGGGCTGAGACTGGTGCAATGTTTTTAGATGGTAATTACTTTCTTGTATTTTTTATCTTATAACAAAAAGCATAAGTTAATTAAATACAATATTTTAGGCAAACGTATAGCAGTAGGTTATGAAGATGGAGTTATTAGGGTATTAGACTTAAAAACATGTTCTGTATTGTCAACTATATCTTCTGCACTGGGTCATTCTTCTACTATAACTGCAATTGATTGCTATTCAGATAACAATTTAATAATTTCTGCAGCTGTAGATGGAAAAACTATAATTAGTACATCAAATACAGGAAAGGTAATAGAATTAAGAATTTTTGTATTAGACAAGTTAAAGTAATGTCATTTAAAATCTTAGATAGTTTCTGTTCTGCAAAATTTTAATAATGTCAAGCATGTTGTAAATGATGATCAAGATGCTGAAAGCAGTGATGGAAATAATAATTGGGTAGAGACAGTAGCTTTTTGTAAAGATCCTACATTTCAAGTTGCTGCAACTGGCACAATATCAGGAGAAATCTTTATCTGGGATATCTTAAAACAGGTACTATTATCTTTTCTAGTTGAATATAACTTTTCATTTCAGGGAAGTAACTTTTATCATTATTTAGGTACTTAGACAAACGAAAATCCAAGAAAGCGGTGTATCTAAGCTTGTGTGGAAGGGAAATACCAGTATACTATTTTCGGCAGGATTAGACGGCTTATTGAGGTGCTATGAAGCAAAAAGTGGTCAACGTTTACGTACATTCTTAAGCCACAAAGCAGATATTCTTGACCTTTATATATCAGAGTAAATTAAAAGAATTCTAAATACCTTTTTTATAACAATATTTTAACAGAAAGATACATAATAATTACATTTTTTCAGGAATGGAGAAAAGGCATTAACAACATCCGATGACTTTACAGCTAAAATCTTTGATATTTCATCTTTGTCTTAACAAAATTTATTTTTGTTGTTCCTCAGCGAACAATTTTTTGCTAGCTAAATAATTAACTGAACTAACTAAATTCGTAATTTACGTTCAATTCGTTTTTATTTTTTGTTGCAAAACTTTCACTCATTATATATATATATGTATATATATATATATATAT